TAAGATCGAAGTCAGCTGGAACGTAGTTCATAGTAGAAGCCTGTTCTGGGACACTTCCCCTTCAGAGGATATGGGAGTGGACGATTCACTCATTGACTTAACTAGGTTAACTAGGTGCCATCAAAACACAGCACAAACGCACAAAAAATCTGGTAATTTGACTGTAGCGTCATCAGTGAAAGAGACAAACGCCTCCTTGGGAGCACAAAGGACCACACTTCCCAAGCAAACGACACCATTCAGTGCCAGGAACTGGGACTCAGTGCTTCAGTCCAATCCTCAAACTGGCTCTGACCAACAACTCTCAAAAGACCAGAGTCCAAAGAGGTACCAAAGTCCAGAGAGAGAGCAAAATCCCAGTCCTAAGTGCACGCCCCCCTCCAGGCGAAAAGGCGTGGCCAATAAGGGACATTATTTAAGCCAGAAAGCACCAATGACAGACAAAACAAAAACCAAAAAATCCCAAAAAAAGGTCAAGACTCAAATGTCCCAAATGAGTGAAGGCACTATAGCCAAGAAACTTGAAAAGCCACACAAAGTAATACTTGTCAAATCAGCTTATGGTTCTGATGAGCTTCTCAGTTCAGAATCGGAGTCCCCAGTCGCTAAGACCAACTGGGACCACTTACTCGGTACCAGCCCTGAAACCTGCACTGGCCAAGATCCCCCCAAAGACCAGAGTCCGGAAAACTACCAAAGTTCAGACAGAGGCAAAAGGGGCATTGCTAATAAGGGACATCATTTAGGTCTAAAAACAGAGACAGACAAAACAAATAACAAAAAATTCGGGAAAAAGGTCAAGACTCAAACGTCCCAAATGAGTGAAGGCACTATAGCCAAGAAACTTGAAAAGCCACACAAAGTAATACTTGTCAAATCGACTTATGGTTCTGATAGAGATTGGCAATTCCAGATCTGAAATTATCCAAATGATTCTAGTGAAGGTGTATGGAGTTTAAAAACACAGTGGAACTGAGTGTTTTCTGTTGGAGAGAAGAACTCAGCCTAAATATGCAGAATTTGTGTGTTAAACATGTGTGAAACAAAACAAAACACTACTCCAAGAATGTTTGTGATGAGAAAACATAGATCAGACCATTGCGTAATACGGGCTCTTTAATGTCAATTATGAGCCAAACATTTTCTGACTGTACATGTTACTAAAAGTGCATTTGGCCTTTTGCCTGATTAGTGCACCAAAACAACAGCTCGCGGTATCTACAAAGGAAGCAGCTCTCAGCGAGGGACCCGGCGGCGCTTTGCTGCTTTTAAAAGAGTCTGAACCGGCTGTACAGTGGCTTCAAAGCAGAGACACAGACACACTGTTCTTCTCTGAGGCCTGCTTCTATTCTACTGTTCTTTTATGTGCGTTATTTATTTGTGTATATTCCTCGAACGTTGTCTTCTATACAGTTACACCAGTGCTTTTGTGTGTGTTTCAGTCGACATTTTACGTTTCAGTGAGAGAAACAGCAACCACAATACTTTACAGACTACTCTAACTTGCAGTACCTACACTTCCAGTCAAAAGTCTGGACACGCCCTCTCATTCAGTGTTTTTATTTTATTTTTTTATTACATTTATATTTACTACTTTTTACATTTTATATACACATACAGAAGACAGCAAATATATGTTGTGAAATGTATAGAGTTATGTAGCAAAGAGGGTTTTATGTTTCATATTCAAATCCTCACAAAGTCCACTTGTTTTTTTGTTTTGTTTTGTTTGTTTTTGCTGCAAACCCTTGGCCTTCTCTCAATGAGCTTCTTGATGAAATGGTTTTCAGTTCACAGCTGTGCCACGTCAGGGTCAAGAAATGAAAATCAGCGATCAAAGCAAAGAGTAAAGGCTAGTATTTACTTTTTTTTTTTTCATCCAGAACCAGTTTGAAGTTATTTTGAGTTTATTTTTCGTTAACTACATTCCACATGAGTCATTCAGAGTTTTGATACCTTCAGTGATCAAAAACTATGATCACTTATTATGAAGCAGAAACATACACTACAGGTCAAAAGTTTTAGAACACCCTAATTTTTCCCGTTATTTATTGCAATTCAAGTCGTGTAAGTCCAATGAAGAGCTTGAAATGGTACAAAGGTAAAAACTGAAGAGCCAGAGGTTAAAAAAAAAAAAAGATAAAAGATACAAAAGACAAGTTCAAGCTCTGCCAAAACTACCTCAGGAAAAAAAAACAAGATGGTAAACTTGGAGTGACCAGCACAGTGTCCAGACTTAAACCCCATCGAGCTGGTTTTGGGATGAACTGGACAGAAGAGATAAAGTCAAGAAACCTACAAGTGCCACACATTTATGAGAACTTCTGAGACAGACTTGGGAAGAACTTTCTGAAGAATATTTGATTTCTGTTGTAAAAAGAACGAGCCACGAGTTTGTTCAGCTGTTATATCTGCCAAAGGTGGACACTTTCATGAATCAAAAGTTTAGAATACCTTTTGATCAACAGTAAACAGTAAAAATCTGGAAAAAGTGTGATGTTCTAAAACTTTTGAGCGGCAGTGTACATGAAAAAGTGTGTCCAAACTTTTTTCTAGTCGTGTATGTTAGGTAATATCCCGGCTTTATAACATTAAAATTAAGAATATGGAATGTGGTTCAATATGGATTTACTGAGGTGATACGATGTCCAGCTTGATGCTGTAGGTCGGGGGTGGGCAAACTTTTTGGCTCGTGGGCCACAAAAAGTTCAAAAATTTGACAGAAGGGCTGGACCAGGAGCAGATGGATGGAGTGTTTTGGTAATGCACCTCATAAGAGAAAAAAATAAGATATAAACTTGAATTTCAATTAAAAATCATTACAAAGCATTATAACTTTTACTATTATAATTTACTCAAGTTTGGCGGGTCGGATTATAAAGATGAAAGGGCCACATTTAACCCCTGGGCCATAATTTGCCCACCCCTGCTGTAGGTGGTCACCAGTGTTGGGAAGGTTACTTTTAAAATGTATTCCCGTACAGATTACAGATTACATACCCCAAAATGTAGTTTGTAACGTAATCCATAAAGTTACTTAAAGTGAGTAACGTAATCTGGATTACTTGATATTGTCATGTTCTTTAAAACTACGTGAATGTACCAACCACATCCTGAAAATTCTTGTTTGTTCTCTTCAAATTCCATGAATCTCCATGAATAAGCAACTGTTTGTTGTAGAGAAGCAAAGACGAGGAAATCTTAACATGAGATGTTTTGTTTTCTCTGCTAAAAGAAAATAAAAAGCCCAGTCTTTACTTACTTACTACTATATTATTGATAGAGAAATGATTTCTATATGAGATCACTGCTGCCTTAAATTATGTCCACTCTACTGTTAGGTGTCATATTGTTTAGACCTGATTTAGACCTGATTTAGTCCTGGTTTAGTCTTAGTTTAGTCCTGGTTTAGTCCTGCTTTTAGACCTGGTTATTCCTGGTTTAGTTCTGGTTTAGTCCTGGTTTTGCCCAAAATGTGAAAACAGGAAAATACCTCTGTGTAATCCATTTATTTCAATAAAGTAAATGTAATCCAATTACCACTCACTGAAACAGTAACTGTAACTGAATAGTGTTACTCATAATTTGTACTCTGATTACATAACTCCGGTACATGTAATCTGTTACTCCCCAACACTGTTCACGGGCATCAGAGACAAAAAGAGCTGAGAAAAATAAAAAATAACGTTTGGTTTGGCAGCGTTTCCACCTTTAGTCAACACCAATATTCCTGAGTAAACTTTTTCCTGTACATTTGACATTTGTTTTTGTAATACCTGTATCCTAGTGCTAAACATGAAAGAAGTGACACTAATATTCATGCAGTACAAAGTGTTTTCATGTGGCCCATGTCACAAAAGTCATTTATTAAAACGAAATAAAATCATTTATTTCTTTTTAGTTACATAAAAAACAAACAGTGTTCTTATTATGCAAACTATCCTCGTTGGTTACATATTTTTTGAATGAAATCAACATTGAATGCCATAATTTCAAGTTTTGGTTAAGTTTTTTGTGTTTCCTGAAAATTTTGAAAAAAAATGGCGTATGCAATTATTTTAGGAAAGTGTCGATTTGGAGTTTAGAGAGACAGAGGAGGAAATGCAGAGTCACAAAATGAAGCAAAACTCAACTTGATGAGGAAACAACATTTTGAAACAACATTTTGCATAATATAGGTCAGGTTTTTCAATATAAAACCAAAAATAAGAAAATGATTCTTCATTATTTGTCTCCAAAACCATAATGAAAAAAACTAAACAAAACAAAAAAAAACGATAATGGATAACGCATAATCATTTTTTCAGTTTTCAATTTTGTGTTTAAATGAATAATGGAAAAATGGATAACGGACTGAACCAGGACTAAAACAGGTCCGGAACCAGACCAGAACTGAGACCAGGACTGAGTCCGGGACCAGACCAGGACCAGGACTGACACCAGGACTGAGACTGGGAACAGGACCAGGACTGAGACCAGGACTGAGACCAGCACTGAGACCGGAGACTGAATCCAGGACCAGACCGGGACCAGGACTGAGACCAGGACAGAGACCGGGAACAGGACCGGGACTGAGACCGGGACTAAGACTGGGACCAGACCGGGACTGAGACCAGGACCGAGATCGGGAACAGGACCAGGACTGAGACTAGGGCTGAGACCAGGACTGAGTCCAGGACCAGACTAGGAACAGGACCGAGCCCGGGACTGAGACCAGGACCAGACCAGGACTGAGACTGGGACTGAGACCGGGACCAGACCAGGACTGAAAACGGTTTAGTCCTGGTTCAGTCCTGTTTCAGTCTGTATGCGGCTTAAAAGTCCAGTTTTTGCAGCTTAAAAGTTCAGTTCCTGTTTTTTCATTTTGGTTTTAGAGACAAATAATGAAGAAAATTGTTTTTTCATTTTCTTATTTTTGGTTTTATTTTGAAAAACAAATGAATGAATGATACACAGATTTAGGTCTGGGGTGAGTCTTGGACATGAGTCTTTGCGCTCACCTCCTGTGTCCTGCGGCGATCTTCCCTGTAGCCTCCATCTCGTGCACGGCCTGAAGACGACACTTGAGCATCTCTGTGGGAGTGATGGCCGTGGCCGAGAAGATGGAGGCCAGAGAACCCGCACTGGCCTTCTGAAGATCACTGCACAGGAAATCAAATGCATTTTACACTTTATTTTTACAACTTTTGAGAGCTTTTGTTTTATTAAGATTGACTGTCATTAAAACGGTATGTCCAACTGACCTAAGCTCCGCCCCTTGATCCACCCCACACAGGAAGCGCACCAGGTCCTGACACCGCCCGTAGCTGAGGAAGAGCACCGAGGTCTCCGTGATGCTGGACACCAGAGCGGGGCTGGTGCCTTTGTACAGAGACCTGAGTCCTCCCGTCCTGCAGCTGACGGCGAAACAGTGACTGAAGTTGCGGTACAGTGACGGGAAAGTCTGCATCTTCACTTTGGTGGTGTCAAACGGCTGCGCACTCAGGACATAGACAACGCCACCTACACACACGCGCAAGGATAGAATTAAAAGAGTCGTTTATATCTGTATAGAGGCTTTGCACCGTCACGTGTCCCCCATGGCAACGGTACCTTCGCCGCCATGACACCGGGCATGCTATGTCATTGGCTTCAGTAGCATCGGAGAAACATGGGCAGGTTTTGTCGTGTATTTGGTTGTTCTAGACGCTCTGAAAGGGATAAAATGATTCATTTCTTCACTGTTCCTCTGGAAATTACTCATCCGGAGCTCAAACAAGGGAATTATCGAAAAAAAAAGACAAGAATTATGGCTAAAGAACATAAACCGCGAAGAGATTTCCTATGGTACCATCAAGACACACTCACGTCACTTTCATCAAGGTATTTGCTATTTAAATTGTTTCATAGCTTATTTAATGAGAGAAGCACATTTACTGAACTAAAATTTAAAAAGAAAACATTTGCAGTGTGAGTGGCTGTAGAAACTGTATCTTCCAATGCACATATAAACATGTCACTCGTCGTAGGACCCATGTTTTATTCATTGCCTCACTTATCCACAGCGCACCGGCTGTAAACAAACCTGTTTCTGGCGTAAGGAGGAGGAGGGAGGAGGTGTTTCTACGTAGGAGCTGTAGGGGAGGGGGGGTGGTTTCACGCATGCGCAACATTTGAAAAAGGACAAACAGTCGCTGGATTTCTCGTTCCTTGGAAAATCCTCTATACAACCTTTAATAAACTTTATTTAAAAAACTGTAATAAAAAAACTTAAACTTAATTAAAAAACTTTAAAAAAAAAAAGAAAAAAACAAATGTTTTACCAGAGGTGGACAGAGTTGCCAAAAACTGTACTCAAAATAATATTACTTATGTAGAAATATTTGGAAAAAATACTATTCAAGTAACATTAAAGAGTAACTTTAGGACATAACATCTGATTTGTATTTTAAAGTTAATGTAATGTAAATCTGCTACTTTCAAAGAATAGACGCAAAAACAAAAACAAAACAAAAAAAACAAAAAAACTAAACAAAAAAAAAGAAATCATATTTTAAGGAGCGGTGAAGAAACACAAATGTTCAAATCATTTCATATTGTCACATAAAGCTTTTTTCACCTGTAGAATCACTTTTACTGATGTAAGAGGACTACTTCAATGAAAATATTACTCAAGTAGGAATACAAGTGTGCTGCTAGAAAAGTACTCTGAAAAGTTACTCAAGTAAATGTAACTGAGTACTACCCACATCTTTTACCCACAGACTTTATTCATATTGGATTAGAATTCACTTATGTAGCTTATGTAACAGTACGAAAAAAAATAATTTCTAAAACACGTCTCATTAAATAAATAAATAAATAAAATTTAAATAAATGTCTTTTCAGAATATTCTCTGAAATAAGATGCCAAGATTCTAAGAAACCAGCTATTGACAACTTGTATCGTACAATCACTTGGAATGAAAATACACTGTACAACACAACAAGTTTATTCAACTCAAAATCTTGTGTAAATTATTTCATCAAGTTATCAAATTAAGTTGATTCTGTTTGACTATTCAAGGTTCTTTATTTGTCATTCAAGCATGCGAGAGAAACACATGACAAAACGAAATGTGCTCCCTGACGCCCAGTGATCCAGAAAGAGATAAAAAACAATAATAAATAAGCAATGTTAAAAAGTAAATACGTCAAATTCAACGGAAACTACGCAAAATATCGCGTCATCCTGCCATTTCTTCTTCTGTTTCTTTGTTTCTTGTTACGGAAGTGTGGAAGCATGGAAAGGTGTCTGCACATTGGCAGCTAAAATTGTGAAATTTTATCATGCTGACCATGTCTAAACTCGCTATCATCGTTATGATCGCACTTTTGGCTATGGTGTGCTTCCCAGGTATGGACGTACTTTGACCTTTTTCTTTAGTGTTGTGTTACGCTCAGGGAGGAGCTTTGTCGGTGCTTGTGCCGAACAAACTCAAGATGAGGGCAAAAAAATCATATTCATTTGTGTCTTAGTTTTGATGTTTGAGAATAGATCGTGTCTGAAATGCACAAATCATTTTTGATGGCGTCGTATTGTTTTCAATGCCCTGGATAAAAAAACTGGATACTCCACTGGACCGGGGTGATAATAATTGACTTATACCATTAATTGATCATCTTTTAACAGAAATTGTACATTATATGAATATATATGTTAGGGTTATGTTTTATGTTTTAAATGTCTATAACTGAGGGATCATTTTAACGGTGCTGTCAGTGCAGACCAACATGATAAACAAGACAAGATCTCGCAAGAGTTCCACTGCATACGCAACGCGAGATGAGTTTATTTGTACAGCACAAATTATACAGAAAGAAACACATTAAAATCACAATCTAAACAAATTAAAATATAAATAATCATCATAAAATGAAAAGAGAGAGAGATATTAAATGAAAGAGAACAGAATGAATGCATACTCTGCCAGAGTGAGTCAAGAGGCTAGTTTCCAGAAGTAAAAAGGAGGAATGCAGATTTGATTGTGATTGACAGTTGGATGTATTTTAAGAGTTTGTTAACCTGCCGAGGACTGAAGATGGAAACTTCTTTGGCTAAATCTGTTGTAAAGCATCTCTTCTATGTTCATTCTTCCATATGAGTTGAATGTGTTTGCACATGATCCCTGTTAAAATAAACCAATACACTAAACAAAACATTTCTTGTCTCTTGTTTCTTCGAGACAAGAGACAAGCAGTTGACGGACTGCCCTCTAGAAATGTCACGTTGTGCACCTTTAAGTTGAATAGGGCGGCAGTAGCTCGGTTGGTAGAGCATTCCTCCACTGATCTGAAGGTTGGCGGTTCGACTCCAGCTCTCGACATAAACATCACAGGCTGAGCGATCAGATCCACTGACCCACAGGTTGGCTGGTGTGATTCCAGCTCTCACAGATAAATGCTGTTGTTGTGTCCTTGGGCAAGACACTTAACCCACCTTGCCCACAGTGTCTGTGTGAATGGGTGAGTGGTTCCTTGTTGTAAAGCGCTTTGAGTGCCTTGAAGAAATAGAAAAATGTGACCATTTACCAGTAGTGAACTGACACAGCTACTATTATTATATTTGAGTAACAGTTGATCTGTATTTCTACTAACATTATATAATCCCTCAGGATTATCTTGGCATCAGACTGAGTCATGCACTTGTGTATTTACAAGTGCATATTGTAAAAAAAATGAAATGTGTTGTTTTGTTTTGCAGGTTTTACAAAGGTTCCCACTGAGGAGGTCTCTGTTTCTGTCGGAGACAAACCTAAACTGTCCTTTCCACTGGGAGAATGTTCAGCGCATCATACCTGGACCATTAAAAAGAAAACAGGTGACGACGTCTTCACCTGCAGAATAGTCTCTTCAACCTCCGAAAAGTTTGAGGGAGATTGTCCACAGGAGGGACAAACCTACACTGTCCAAATGGTCTCTGTGGAACGAGCCGACCTGGGGGAGGAATACTGCCTGGAAATCAAACAGATCACCTGCAGCTGCATACATCTGATTGAGAGTGAGTTTTAGTCCTGAGTTAGACCTGGTTTAGTCACACTTAGGTCCTGATCTAACCCATGTTTAACCTCTTATTGTGTTTTGTAGAGAAAGACCCTGGTGTGGACAGAGCAGACTCAGCTGCAGGTACATTTTTGACTCTGGGGTCATCCTGGTTTAGTTGAATCTGAGTCCTGGTCTAGTCCAGGTTTAGATCTTTCTAACTTCTTGCTGTTTGTAGGGACAAAGAATAATTCCACTGTTATCTCCTCGACCATGTGGACTTTTTTCATTGGACTGATTGTTTGGGGAACAGTGTTCTGAGTCCATGATGAGAAACAAATCCGTAAGTTACATTTTATGACTTTAAATCCTCACTTAAAACCTTTTTCATATGAAACTAACATTCGGTTCCTAGCCTGAATCTGTACTAGGGCTGCAGCTAACAATTATTTTGCTAATCATCTAGCAATTATTATCATTTCTATTAAATGATTAGTTTTTTATTATACGAAAGGCCTGTGAATTTGAGATTTTGACTGAATTTGACCCAGATGAAGCTAAAGGGAAGCTGCTTGATGCCATCATGATTGAGTACATTCAGAGACAAAAAAGTGAATTCATCAAAAAGTTGTGGTCCATGTTTTAGAGCCTGTGTATAGACCATAGACTGTTTACAGTATATATATTTTATTTAAACAGTCTATTGTATAAACCAGGCAGCAGTTATTTGATTACTAAGTTGGTTAATCAAGTAACTGTAGCCCCAATCAGTACAGAAGCTCAGGGTGGGCATCTGGAGTAAAAACCTTCTCTGACGGTTTGTGTATTTCCACAGGTGATCTTCTCTGAGCCCCGTGTTCACATCCCAATGAAGGAAAAGTTCATGTGCCTCACCAGTCCTTTTGGGATTAAAGAACTGCTCAGTTTTAATAAGAAGAGGCTAAATATATATTAAACGTATAACATATTTATTTAACGTTATTTACCCACAACCAAGTTTACTCCTGTTATGGACTTGAGCTCACTACGATAAGTCGCTTGTGTTATGTGAAGATGCTCTGGGTCCAAGACATCGATTTGTCATTTATATGTTTATTTTGTTCTTTCTTCCTTTTTGTGTGTAAACAAAATAAAAGTCAATGTTTGTATTAGTTAATGTGTTTGTTTGTGTGTTTCCGCACAGCTGTAAATCTCACTGCATGTCTCCAGGTCTAAAGCTGAACACAGATGAAAAGGTCTGGGCATGAGATCGTGTTGGATCATGGATCTTCTCTGGTCTGTGGTCCTCTATACCCTTATTTAACATAAAGCAGTCAGAGTTTGGTTTACTGAGGCTGCAGGAAAAGCCTCACTGTTTATGGCTCAGCAGGACCATGGATCTCCCTGCTCGGCTTCTGTGCGCTCGCGGTGGGAGAGCGGGGCTTTTCGTGGGCAAACATTTTAACGTCAGGGCACTAGATTCAAGATTTAAAGTGCGTATTTACCATGTGCACAGTAATGAAACGCCTTGTCTAGTACAATCACTTTACTGTCCACACCGCTGTGCGTTATAACTTGTCTGTGACGTTACACAGAATAGTTATAATTATACTTATAACACTATTACACATACAACA